AGTTTGCCAACAAATGGGTGAATTCTTATAAATGTAAATGCCAAGGCCAAGCATGAGATTATTGGAGTCTTTATGAATTAAAATTAAATAACCATCAACACTAAGATCGTAAGATTAGACAGCTGAACTCAAATTAGTAAAAATACAGTAAAAATGTAATATATATATATATATATATATATATATATATATATATATATATATATATATATATATACATTATATATATATATATATATTTATATTTATATATATATATATAATACGTTTTAAATTACGTATGAAAAAAAGTTTATCAAAGCTTATCTTTTAAGGCGTTATTAAAGTAATGCAAAACGTTTTTAAATTAAGTAACAAATTACTACTAATGATTATATATATATATATATATATATATATATATATATATATATATATATATATATATATATATATATATATATATATATATATATATATATATATATATATATATATATTATATATATATATATATAAAAGTGGTTTCTTAATGTCCATGCCGTAATATTATGCTAAATAAAAGTGGTTCCCAAATGCCCATATTTCCTTCATATATTTCCTTCTTGTTCATCAGTAATTATTTGTCTACTTACTACTCACAAAATTTGTTACTACATAGTTACAGAGTTTTTGTTCACTTTAATTTTAAATACAAATAAGGAAGTTATCTCAGTGCAAAAATAATTATCAAAGTAAATATTTACTCACGAAAAGAAAGAAAATTATACATTTAATGAATCAATAATGAAAAAATATATTTGATGAATGGTTATTAAAAATGATAACAAAAGATCAATGCTCAATGAAGGTGGTATGATAATTGGAAAAGCAGCACCATGCTTTTCCAACTATTATACAAAAAGTGAATATTAGTAAACACATTTTTAAAATTTTGTATTTATTTAGTATGATTTAAATATTCTTAAACTTGAATAATAACATTTTGTAATGTTTAATAATAGTAATTTTATTATAAAATGCAAGCTTTATAAAAATCTGTCAAACTGTTAATAAAAAACCATTAAACAGCAGCCAATCGTGTGATGAAATATATTTCTCTAATTTGCTTATTTTATGATTATATGCGAATATATTATTGTTTGTATTTAGGTTACAGATTTCAAGAATATTTATTTATAAACTACAAATCATTTTTTATTTTCGGCAACTCACAATTTATCTTGGTAATAATTTATTTTTTTATTATGCTATATGTTATTACTTTTGCTTTAATACTATAAAATAAAATATTATATGTTCTAATTAAATCATAGGCATTGTTTTTAAAAAATAAAATATTATATGTTCTAATTAAATCATAGGCATTGTTTTTAAAGAAACAAATGTAAAGAATCAAAAAACTATAACGCTTTACATTTGTTTATTTAAAAGTCCATATAAGTATATGGTCTTAATCATATTAATTTTTTATTAGTATTATGCGATGTTAGTTTTTTTATATCATATAAAACAATGAAAGAAGGTTTCCAAAAATTTATAATTATCTTTCGTTAGTTTTTCAGGATATAATTATTGGTTTGAAAAAAGTAAAAAGTGGTGCCACTAAGAGAAGAGAAAAAAAAGCAGCCAGGGAGGAAATCACAAAGTACCCCAAACTAACACATTTTTTGAAACCAGCAATTCAGCCTGGAAGTGTTTCGATACCAACAGAAACTACGATACCAACAGAAACTAGAGTCAGGTTTATTTTAGGTTGATATGCGAGTCTACATCAAATGGCATAACAATTCCGCCTATTTTTCTCAGTGATGATCCTTCTAAGTTGCCTGATAACGTTTCCGACGCATAATGGTGTGACATTGTTTAACGGGGTTTCAAAAAAATTGAATTGATTTTCCATACAGTTTAAAAAGAAGACGATTTTCAATAAATTATCATAATCGCAAGATGAAGAATGGAGAAATCTTTGAAAGGACATGGCTCATATATTCTTTGCAATAGCAATAAAGTGTTTTGTTTTGTTGCAAACTTTTTGGAATAAGCTCTTCAACATTCCGGCAATGAATGAACACTAGGGAAGGCTTACCAAAAAAATTTAAAGAACACGAAACATGCAGTGCATATTTTAAGTGCTTTGATCTATGGATGACTTTATGAAAAGGTTAACTGATATTCCTTTTAATTTAATGTTTTGTTACTTTTTTTATTCTCATTTAATTTTTTCCACTCAATTTCGGTAATGCGATATATAGCAAATCAAGCTACAGTAGACGAGCGACAACAAAAGTTGCTTCATAAAGAGCGGACATTTTGGCAAGCTGTGTTAGAAAGAATACTTGACATTACCTTATTTTTTTCTGCAAGAAATCTTGCATTCCGTGGTTCAGACACAACCATAGGTTCAAAGAGCAGTACGATACCATTCTCAATGTTTCTTTCTTGGGGTGTTTAAATTACTGGCTAAGTACGATACCATTCTCAATGAGCTTATGCAAAGAATTCAGGACAAAGAAATCAAGGAGCACTATTTGAGCAATGACATATAGAACAAGTTGATTAGACTTTTAGCCAAGAAGATTAAATCCAAAAACCTATCTAGGGTAAAAAAGGCAAAGTACTATTCCATTATTTTAGATTGTTACCCAGACATTTCGCACAAAGAACAAATAAGCATTATTCTGCGATCAGTAACATCTACTCTTGGAATAAGTATCGACATTTCTGAAAATTTCTTTGGATATCTCACAGTAAATGAAACCACTGGAAAAGGGCTTTTTGATGCATTTTTAATTTAGGCAAAAGATTGGGATTTAAATATTTTAGACAGTCGAGGTCAATCTGACGATAATGGTGCTAATATGAAAGGAAAAAGGTAGAAGGTGTTCAAGCAAGGTTTCTGGAAATGAATCCTAAGGCCTTAATCCTATGTTCCTTGTAAAGAATCCTATGTTCCTTGTGTAAACCATTCACTCAATCTTGTTATTGTTGATGGTGCACTGTCATCTATCAGTGCAATTTCTTTTTTTAGTGTTCTTTCAAGGTTATATACACTCTTTTCATCGTCTCCTCCTCGATGGGAAATTTTAAAACCCTGCACTGCAACTTCTGTCAAACCACAATCATATACCAGATGGGAAAGTAAAATAAACTGTGTTAAACCACTTTGCTATTATTTAAAAGAAATCTTAGAGGAACTTGAAAGATTAGAAGAACATGCCTTAGAAAAGAGAGATAGGGCAACAGCCACAGAAGTGCAAACGCTGACAGAATATATTAGAACATGCCCTTTCTTATTATCAATCATTAATTAGTATGTTTTATTTCAAATCAACAAATTAAGCTGCTTCAGTCTCTTGCAGTATCTCTCAACATCTTAGCTTGTGAAATAAAGGCAACAAATTCATTTCTTTATGAGTCTCGTGAAAATCGATTTTCTGACGCATGTATTAAGGCGTCAGAAATCGCAGAATTATTGGACATTGAAAGGGTTTTTCCAATAGTGCGTTCACGAAAAAAAAAATCAATTTACTCATACGAGTGCGTTAATCACACTTGGCAACCTGAACTCAGTATAAAGCAGATTTTTTTTTGCCACTAATTGATATGTCAATTGCATCAGTAAAAGAGCGTTTTGAACAGATCAGCATTGTCACAAAGCTTTTTGACTTTCTTTACCAATCCGAGAGTCTCATCAAAGCTTTCCATTAAAATTCTCTGTCTGTTGCATATTGCAAAAGTTTGTTGCATATTGCTGTATTATATCATTAAGCTTTATATTGCAAAAGTTTGAAAATAAAGCTTAATGATATAGATTCAGAGGATTTAGAAATAGAGTTAAAATCATTTGTCATTCTTATAAAGGAGGAAAAAAATGTTTTTTTTAAATCTGCACATGATTTTCTAACCTACATCTACAGAAAAGAGTTGAAAAAAATCTCGATATAGTTATTGCGTTACGAATCATTCTTACTTTACCAGTCATTGTTGCAAGTGCAGAACAGAGCTTCAGGAAGTTAAAACTAATTAAAACATAGGTTCATATAAACAATCTTGCTTAATTATACATAAATACATGTAGCTATATTTCATTGTATCTTTAAATAGGTCAACAATGGTCGATGAACATTTGTCTTCCTTAGCAATGGTGTCAATTGAAATTGAAATTGCAAGAAAATTTACAATTAAATTATGAAGGCATAATAAACGAGTTTGCAAGCATGAAAACACAACGCAAACCCTTTTTTTGATGATTTGCGACTTGTATTATCTGCATAATACATTTACATTAGTTAAAGAAACTCTAGACTAGTAAACTATGTATCAATTTAACAATTATAAAAAATGTCTAATTGAATTTACGCGTTAATTTGATTGTTTTTAGTCTTATGAACAGGGATGTTAAAAAATGTTAAGTAGCCAGATGTTTCGAAGTAATCTGTAAATTTTATTCACTTTATAAAAAAAAAAATAAAAAAAAATTAGGGCCCTAATGACAAGTTTTTTTGGGGGGGGCCCTAGACCCACTTGGCACGGCACTATATATATATATATACATATATATATATATATATATATATATATATATATATATATATATATATATATATATACATATATATATATATATATATATATATATATTATACATATATATATTATATTTATATATTATATATATATATATATATATATATATATATATATATATATATATATATATATATATATATATATATATATATATATATATATATATATATAAATATATATATATATATATATATATATATATATATATATATATTGGGGGGGGCCCTAGACCCACTTAACACGGCACTATATATATATATATATATATATATATATATATATATATATATATATATATATATATATATATATATATATATATATATATATATATATGTGTGTGTATATATATATATATATATATATATATATATATATATATATATGTATATATATATAATTTTACATAAAAATTATATGAGACTTACATTAAGTTATTTTTATGAAAGACTTGAAACTGTAAACTTCTCTTGTATTTTTCAAAATCAATAGTAGATCCACGATCAACAAACACCTTGCAATTCTCATCTACTATGAAGAAACCATCTTTTGATTTTTGATTTTCTTTATTAGATGTTACAACAGTAATTTTATCAACGACCTCTTCTGACCAAAATTTTAATACATTTCCGATAGTATTGTCACTATTTAAAAGCTCTTTGATACAACTGTAACTCTTAACAAACACAGTTAAATATGAGTTTGATCTTGAAATAGCATCGATAAAAACATGACGAAGATAAATCTCTTCTGGACTTACAAACACAATTACAGATTCAGATTCCGCTCCTGAAAACCCTTTGCAGTCAGTTACAAGAATGTCCAGTTCACTTCTTAAATTATTATGAATTTTAAATTTTGCCTCTAATGTTGGAGAGTATTTCTGCATATGTGGTGAATATGTTACTGCTTTAAAATTTTTAATTGTATCTATTGCATATGCAACAGATTGCACTTCTTCAATATTGTTGCATATAACCACAGTTTTTCTTAATACATTAAAACAAATTTTTTCTAATACAATGGATAACAATTTAACAGATTGCTTGTCTGTTATATCATGAAAAGGTAAATACACAACCTTGGGTTTTTCTCCTTTAATTGAGTGGCCTATTTTACCAGATTTGAAAACATATTCAGTCTCCATATGACATTTTGGATCAATATTACTAATACTTTTTGTTATTAGCTTTGCCATGTAATCTAAATCATTGTCATGAAAATCATTAAAAATTGTATCAATAATCTTGTTTTCTAATTTCTCTGGAGACTGATCTGATTTATAGTCTGTAAAGTTTTTAACAGTTTTGCTAGTAACAGTTTTGTTAGTAATTTCAACAGTTTTGTTAGTAATTTTTGAATCTGTTGAGTCTTTAAATTTATTAACAGTTTCATCATTAGTAATATTTGATGCATAACTGTTATCTTTTTTAACTATGACAGATGCATAATTAATATCTTTATTTACCTTAATGGTGTCAATTAAGTCATAATGTGGCGTGTCATCTATTTTTTCCTCATCTTTTACATAGTTTTCTATAAAATTAGGTGTTACATTTTTAGAATTATTTCTAGAATCATATGTCAACATATGCAAACTTTGAAAATCTTTCTCTTCCTCAATTTGCTTATCTTTAACTCTAAACAAATTATTTTCTTTACCTTCTTCCAATATTTTAAAGTTAGTGTTTGGAATGTTTAAAACACTTTTTGTTTCACAAATAGTTTTTTGAGCAATATCTATTAATAGTTTATTGCATTCCGAAACTCTCATTGATTTATTTAGAGATATGACCTTCATTCCTATTATTTCTTCTTGAAAGTAATTTCTTTGTATTGTACGCTTTTGTTTATTTGCTATCAATTCTCGATTCTTTGTAATACTCTCAGGAATAAAAACGACTAAAGAATCTTTTAATACAGATGCAAACAAATGTTTAAGTTGAGCTGCATCTTCTTCTTTAACATACTCTTCAGAAAGTTCTTCAAGTACAAAACATACTTTGTTACCGTTGGTGCTCGCTAAATACTCTAGCAATTTTGGTATTGAAATGTAATTGCTTGAAGTGCTTTTGTTTTTGCACATTTTTTTCCACAACTCATACAAATTATCACAGACAACCTTAACATTTGAAGATTTCTCTATACTGTCAACAAACTCTTTCATATGGCATTCATACAATGAAAAATGGTTACAACATATATAAAATAGGGTCAAAGGAATTTGTGACTTATGAGAAATACAATTTTTAACAATCTCTTTTCCTACTATAGATTTACCTGAACCATATCCTCCAGTGATGATTTTTTTCAAAGCTTTGTCATTGATTGCATTTCTTTGTTCAACATTAAGAACCAATGATTGTATCTGTTTTTGAGTATCTGATTCTAATGTGGGATAGCAATGGTCAACTATAGACATTGACATCATAGTTAAACTGATGAGTTTTTTAAATAGTACTTCACTATTATTTTTTGGATTTACTTTTTTAATGCAGTAAGCTACAACTAATCTCCACCAACTTTCAAAATTCTCATCTTCAATGTCATCTTTACATAGAAACAAAATTTTATCTAAATCAAAATCCTCTGAGAAGTGATAAAATAACTCTTCTTTCAAATGTTTACGATCATGTAACGGTAAAACTACAACTCCCAAAATAATTAGTTTATTAGTATCAATTAGAGGATTGTTAACATTAACAAATAATATGACATCATTTAAACACTGTTCAGATTCTAGCTTGAGGCAATATATTGAAGTAGCAACACGAGCAATTATAACAAGGTTGAGTTCAGAGACAAAAATTGTTAGTCTATTTTCATCATTATAATTAGTAAACTTTTCAACATTGCACTTTAAAAGAGATGCATGATAACGTAAACGGTAACCAGGTAGTACAGCACGTATACCCGTACAATTCACAGTAAATATTTCAATAAACTTGGAAGCAACTAAATTATCATTGTCAGCAATAGAAGAAGTGACATAAATAACATCATTACAATCAGAAAAATTTCTATTAAAATAATCTAATGCAATTAACTCTATTGATTTATTATTAGGTATTTTATCTAAACAAATATTGTTTGTCTCTCTCCAATCCAAAGAATTTGTTGTTCTTACATTTTGTCTAAACCCGTTGTTGGAAATTGGTTCAGGTGTTGCAACACACAACCCATTATAGATTAACTCATAGTTGCAATTACCTAGTAAAAAGTAAAATGAAATAAAATTAACATATATATTCAAAAAAATTATTTATAAAAACAATATACTTAAAACTATATTTAAAAACTGTTTATTCAAATTAGTACTAAAGTTTTCAAAATAATCATAAAAAAAAAGTAGGAAAATAGGTCAAAAATATCAAAATTAACTTGAAAAAAGAAAAAACAGCCTTTGAGTTTTAATTGAAAATTAAAATGTAATTTAAATTGTAAAAATTTATGATTTGAGATATTTTATTTTTAATTATAATGAAAAAAATAATTATAAATTATACCTATAATATTAACTGAACAAAAATGTTGAAAGAATGTTTTTTTTAAACCTTGAAATGAAAACTTAAAATTAAGTGTTTCATTTTCAAATAATAACTTTTCTACTTTCACAAACAATGTCGCATTCTTTTTTTTTGTTAAATAATATTGAAATCCTTGTTTCTTATTATTAATAGCTGTCCAATTATTAACAACACTGTTTAATTGGAATTCGACTTCGCTACAAATTTCATCTTCAAGTAAATCAAACTTAAAAACACAACCATGAGGAATTCGACATTCAATAGTGCTGAAAAAAATAATAAAAATAAATTAAAATGTCAAATATAAATATGTACATATATATATAGTACACCCAGAAACAATATATATGTGTATACACATAAATTGCAATTCGAGTAACCTTTAATATTAAATATGTTGTTAACTCCTTATTAGTGTCTGACGGATTTATCCGTCTCTGAAAGGTGTAGCTCACTATGTGTCTAACAGATATCTCCATTTAATGAAACTGTTGTGCTATTTATATTTGATGGTTATTTAATGAAACTGTTGTGCTATTTATATTTGACAGTTATTTCCGCATTCTGGAACTGTTGTACTATTTTTGTGTGACGGATTACTATTTTTCCGTTTCACAGATAAGCTAAACAAAAGATTATATTTTATACGTTTGATGTTACTTTGTTCAACAATTTTATTTGGTAACTTATAACAGAAATATGGTCTAGATTTTATACTCTAAAGTACTTTTAAAATATTGCTAAAAGCTTGAAATTGTGGCATGTATACTTTACAATGGATTTTTATGGCATAAGTACGAAGGGTTGTAGCCCTTTGACTTATATTTATGTTTTTGTTTTTTCTCTAAACAAATATATTCAGTTTTTCTTAAATTAACAAAAGTGAAAAGTTGTATGCACTTGTTAAACTTGCTAATCTTCTTTTTGTTTTTGACTCCCTTAATAAAACCTTACCTTCCTCTATTACAACCTTCTTCACTGAAACTCAATTTATACATTCACACTTAACTAGAAACTTCATTTTTTTATTTGTTCTCTAAACAAATATATTCAGTTTTTCCTAAAATAAAATTGACAGTGTCTTAACCTAATTTATTTAATATAACTTTATAATATGTATTTGTTAAATTTTATGCATATAATATAATTATAATGATATACTAAAAATATTTATAATGTAAAATATTTTAATTCAAGAGTTTGTATTATAATCTAAATCGGCACAGTTTTTTCTGGATTTTATTATTTTAGTTTTTAATATTGCGAGAACCAAAAAGTAAAAGTTTTGTGTATGCAGAAATATTTAAATGTAGAAATAGTTTACTGGTTGCATTTTAGACAGTTTTAATCACATATATACTTGAGATTTCGTTTTTACAATTTTATTTTCGGAAAAATATAAAAAAAGTTTTTTTTTAAATTATAATGATGTTACATGTTTAACCCTCGATTATAATATTTTTAGATGAGTAAAAAATGTCAGAAAAATATGGGAAGAGTTTTAAATGAACATTGTAATAAAATGTCATATTGTAGAATGGTAGGAAGAATAAGACTAAAAGATACTGATAATAAAGTTTTAATGCAAAGGATTGGATATACTTTCAAATGAAATGAGAGAAATGTTGTTACCATGAAAAATATTTCTAGATATGAAGAACTTAAAAAATACTCTTATGATTCATTTAAAGTCCACAAAAAAAATCATCAACGGATTGTGTTATCAACGGATTGTGTTATCAACGGATTGTGTTATCAACGGATTGTGTTATCAACGGATTGTGTTATCAACGGATTGTGTTATCAACGGATTGTGTTATCAACGGATTGTGTTATCAACGGATTGTGTTATCAACGGATTGTGTTATCAACGGATTGTGTTATCAACGGATTGTGTTATCAACGGATTGTGTTATCAACGGATTGTGTTATCAACGGATTGTGTTATCAACGGATTGTGTTATCAACGGATTGTGTTATCAACGGATTGTGTTATCAACGGATTGTGTTATCAACAGATTGTGTTATCAACGGATTGTGTTATCAACGGATTGTGTTATCAACGGATTGTGTTATCAACAGATTGTGTTATCAACGGATTGTGTTATCAACGGATTGTGTTATCAACGGATTGTGTTATCAACGGATTGTGTTATCAACGGATTGTGTTATCAACAGATTGTGTTATCAACGGATTGTGTTATCAACGGATTGTGTTATCAACGGATTGTGTTATCAACAGATTGTGTTATCAACGGATTGTGTTATCAACGGATTGTGTTATCAACGGATTGTGTTATCAACGGATTGTGTTATCAACGGATTGTGTTATCAACAGATTGTGTTATCAACGGATTGTGTTATCAACGGATTGTGTTATCAACGGATTGTGTTATCAACGGATTGTGTTATCAACGGATTGTGTTATCAACGGATTGTGTTATCAACGGATTGTGTTATCAACGGATTGTGTTATCAACGGATTGTGTTATCAACGGATTGTGTTATCAACGGATTGTGTTATCAACGGATTGTGTTATCAACGGATTGTGTTATCAACGGATTGTGTTATCAACCGATTGTGTTATCAACAGATTGTGTTATCAACAGATTGTGTTATCAACGGATTGTGTTATCAACGGATTGTGTTATCAACGGATTGTGTTATCAACGGATTGTGTTATCAACGGATTGTGTTATCAACGGATTGTGTTATCAACGGATTGTGTTATCAACGGATTGTGTTATCAACGGATTGTGTTATCAACGGATTGTGTTATCAACGGATTGTGTTATCAACGGATTGTGTTATAAACCTTTTTGTGTTATCAACGGATTGTGTTATCAACGGATTGTGTTATTAACGGATTGTGTTATCAACGGATTGTGTTATCAACGGATTGTGTTATCAACGGATTGTGTTATCAACGGATTGTGTTATCAACGGATTGTGTTATCAACGGATTGTGTTATCAACGGATTGTGTTATCAACGGATTGTGTTATCAACGGATTGTGTTATGATCTGGTAGAAATTGAAAAAATCTACTGTAGCTCCAGATACTCAAGTTTTTCTGATTTTGGTCAATATTAATTCAATTATAACTTTTGAATGATTTAGTCAATCAAGCTGAAATTTTCTAAATTGTATTTTTTTTCATAAAAGCTGTGGGTGGTCAAAATTTGAAGCAAATTTAGGGTGGTGCCCTGGGGACCTTTAGGTGATTTGACATGGAATGATCAATGTACATATGCTGAGTACCTGTGTTCCAAATAATAGAGTCACTATTAAAAGAGCTGGTAAAGAAAAAAAACTATATATAATTGTTTGATATAACAAAAATATAAAAAAAACACAGACAGCATTGACAGATCTGACAAAAAGTTAATAACCTACAAAGTTGAAAGAAAAAGTGAAAAATTTTTATAAAAAGATTTTCATGCATATAATTAGTGTTTTGTATTCAATGTATTTCAAGTTTTGTATTCAATGTAATTCAAGTATTGTAAAAAACCATAAAACAGTGAAAAAAAATTGAAATAGCACTCAAGTGTTACCTTCTCCTTTACAATCAATAGATTGTCAATTTATTAAAAGTATTCCAGAGAAAACGGTCATATCTAGTAGCAGATGTGTTTTATACTCTGTGAATAAAGATCAAAGACAAGGTATATTTGAATGGACTGTAATATTAGTTTGAGTGTTACAATTAAGGGGTTAAGTATTTGACAAAAGTATACTAAGAATGCAGTTTAAACAATCAACTTTTATAGAATTTTAATGGACGTAAAATAACAACTTTTATAACAGCATTTAAAACAGTATATTAAGTTATTTGTTGCTTATTAATTCTTAAGTACACCAGCTTAAATGCATTTCCAGTCAGTGGTGAGATCATTTGCTTTAATTTTTGGTCTCAATTCTTGGATTGTAACATAAGTATGTTACAATCCAGGAATTAAGACAGATAGATATTAACTTATATAAAATAATATTCAATAATATTAGCAGTTAAAATAGCATAGATTATACTACATCATGAAAGAAAATTAAGCTGTTTATTTGAAACCCATATGTAGTTGGTGTGGTTGATAATGAAGTTCATTATCATTGTCAGCAATTCATTTAAAAACTGTGCATAATGCCATGTTAAGGCAATAGGATTATAATCATCAAACAAGAGTTGGATAATTTAGGAATTAGTGTTTGCTAATTTCTATAGGTCAAATAGGACACTGTTTTCAATGAGACAATATAATAAGATGCAGAATGTTAGGACAATTTAAAAATAAATCAGAATCTGCTAGCAGCAACCCTGCAGACTTGGTTTAAAATGTTATTAAGGGTAAAGGTAGGGGTAACAGGCAGATTTGAAGTAGTACAAAGATCAATAAGTTTATGAATGTCTGCTAAAGATAACATAGTTTGTTGTACTAGTTTTTTTCTATCTTTGTCAAACATATCAATTATTGTAACAGTTGCTTTATAAAGTGGCACAGATGGATATAAATTGTTAACATCAAATGAGACCTGAATTTTGTCATTAATGAACCATTCTTTTTCTGTTGACACAAATGAAGATGAATTTTTAAAACGGTATTCTTTTTTTATTTAAAGATGGTTGTATGATCTTAAAAAGATGTTTCAAAAGTTCATGAGGTGGTGTGCCGAATGTTGAAACTATTGTTTAAATTAAATAACCTTTTTCACTTATATGTGCTTTAATACAACCTTATAAACAGGGTGGAATTGCATTTGAAGGATATATTTGACCAAATGTTTTTTTATCTAAAAATTTTTTTTTAATTTAGTAAGGGTATGTTCAATAAGATTTAGAAAATACCCAAATTGCTCTTCTCTTCTTTGTATTGCTGATTTCAAATCTTAAATGGCAAACACATTATCTTAATCATATGGATATAGTTTAAAGCTGTTAAATTTCTTAGTTTATTGATACATAGAGGTTGATTTTTAGAAATATTAACATCTATTTTCACTCTTAAATATTTGGTTAATGTTTTGCTGACAATCTGTCTCAATAAATTAGCTCTTTCTATGTTCATCTTTTTTACATATTTAAAGCGCATTTCACAATTAATGCTATAATATCAAAAAATGGTATTTTATTATGAGTTGGAATGCATTGAGGACCAAGACTTAAAAAGTGTTCCTGTTTCCTTGAGATTGATTTATTTGAAAGACTTGTAAAAGTTTAGTAGGTTGTATTTGAAAGACTTGTACAAGTTTAGTAGGTTGTATTGAAATAATATATAAAGTATTAAAATACCTCTTAATAAGATAAAATATATTATTTTTTTTAAATAATTTTTTTAGATAAATAATTAAATAATAACTTTTTCAAATATTGAAGACAAATTTGAATGATAAAAAGAATTTCAAAAGAAAAACTAATAAAAAGAATGTCAAAATAAAAAGAAAATTAAAGGATTCTAAGTGATTCTATATGCTGATTACATTTCTTGAATTTGCCTTAGTTTTTCAATCCTTCTTTTTCAATCATTTTTAGGCAATTTGAATTGTTTTGTTACAAAAAATAATTAAAAATACAGATAAAAAAAAACTTTAAAAAAAAACAATAATATCATTCAAGTTTTTTACCAAAAAGACAATAAAGAATCTAACTAATACAAATAAATTAAACATATTTTTAAATGCTATTTTTTAAGTAATAATGTTACAATGTTTTTAATATATCAGTTACATTATATTATCTAATTTTATTTTTTTGGTATATACTTATTAAGTAAAGTTATCAAGTATCAAACTTTTCAATCTTTTTTTATCTATTTGGACAAATTGTTGATGAACAGATTTTTTTAATGAACTATATCAAGGGTATATATAGAGAAAAATATTATAAGAACAATTTCAACGTTTAATTACCGTTCACTGTATTACTACAAAGATAAAAGATTAACTGTAATTACAAAAAATTTTATATAATTTCTTCTACCATAAAACTAACATCACATTATTAAAAATAATATGTATACATATATAAACATAAAACATATTTTATTACCTAACTTTTCCTTGACTTGATAAGGTATCTAAAAAATATAAAGTTAACACTTTTATCTTGAAACTATTTTGATCATAAAAATTGAAAAGTTAAAAAGTATTTTTTTAATGGTCCTATATTATGATTTGTTTAATAAAAGTTCTTGAATGGTTTGCCATAATGTAAATACCTTTACATAAAAAATTTATTTTTTATGTAAAGGTATTTAAGGATGAGTAACATTATTATGATTGTGCCAAATATCTAATACCAACACACAAAAAAAAAAGTAAGGATTCGAAATTTTAAAAACTTTCGAATTGTATCTGGAATCATATTTTAAATTGGATTTGATTCGAAATTTCGAAGCTTCGCTTTGCTTTTATATCTATATATATATATATATACATATCTATATATATATATATATATATATATATATATATATATATATCTTTGTTATCTCATGATGGTATAGTTGGTGATCTACTATCATAAACTTACTTTGTTTACTGTAAAAATATGTAAAAAACTTAGTTAACTTTAATTGTTTAAAATTTACAATGCTGATCATCAACTAATAGTTTAAAAAGTAGTTTGTTATTATTTTTACTAATGTAGTAAATACAAACTCTCATCTGTAAAATAATATATCTGTATCAGTTGTATATCTTTTTGTCAAATTGTATGCACGATATCTTATAAAGGAAGATGAATGCAAAAACAAACTTGACATATAAATGTTTTTATGCTACAAATTGGATTTTACTGTTCAGAATTTTTTTGGCTTAAATTTTAAGTTGACAATTTATATTCTTTAGTTTTTATTGGTCAAAGATCATACTCTTGCCATTTTTATAGCATTAAGTACAAATGCATGTAAGTGTGGAAGTCTTTAGCATATGTTAGGGTTTTATGTAATCCCCAAACGACAATGATGACAGCGCACTTAACCACTTTTAACTATATGTGTTAAGTATAAAATCGTTTAAGGGCTTTTAATTATATGTGTTATATATTAAATCAAACATATTTATAAATCTCTTATAAGCCCTACATACACGCAAAAGGTAACAATAAATAGGTAAAGAAAGGATTGTGGAAAAGATAAGTATAGAAATGGTAGGTTTAAAAAAGATCTGCATTTTATGGATCCAGAAAACTGGAATATATATATATATATATATATATATATATATATATATATATATATATATATATATATATATATATATATATATATATATATATATATATATATATATATATATATATATATATATATATATATATACGTATATTATATATATATTATACTGATAGTAATATCAATACTATTAACAAGTCACAAAATACATTTTTCTCAATAAAAATAATGATAATGTTAAAAAATGCAACTGTAAAAACAAAGTTATGTGTCCTTTAAAAAATCAATATCTAACTAATATTATTGTATATTTGATTTTGAACCTTGCTAAAATATTTAACAAAAATTATTAATTCTAAAT